TCCGAGTAGCTGGAACTACAGGCGCGCGCTACCACGCCCGGCTGATTTTTTGATTTATTGTAGAGATGAGGTCTCACTGCCTGGGCTGGTCTCGAACCGCGGGCTCAGGCAATCCACTCACCTCAGCCTCCCAAAGGCGCGGGATTACAGGCTGAGCCACCGAGCCCGGCTAGGAAACCTTTTTGTAAACCGTGCATGCAAGAGAGCTAGGTTGCACACTCCTAGTCTATTGCCTGATGATCCTAGGTGGTGATGCTGTGTATTTTATTGTATGTTGTAACATAATAATAATAGAAATAAAGTACACAATAAATGTAATGTGCTTGAATCCTCCCGAGACCATCCCATCACCTGTCTATTAGTTTGGCTGCACAGAGACCATTTGCAAAGGACAAATTTGCATCTTCGGTCAGTTTTGAACTTCCTTTTGCTAATGACAAATACATATATCTATTTTTTTTTAAATCAGTTGCTTGCAGATTCATATCAAAACTCTGTCAGTGGGTGGACACAGAGGCTCATGCCTATAATCCCAGCATTTTGGGAGGCCGAGATGAGAGGATTGCCTGAGCCCCACAGATTCGAGACCAGCCTGGGCAACTTGGTGAGACCTTGTCTCTACAATAAATCAAAAACTTAGCTGGACACGGTGGCGCATACCTGTCGTTCCAGCTACTTAGAAGGCTGAGGCGGAAGGATTGCCTGAGCCTAGCAGGTCGAGGCTGTGGTGGCCGTGAGTGTGCCACTGCCCTCCAGACAGGGCAACAGAGTGAGACTCCAGCTCAAAAAAAAACAAGAAAAAAACCTCTATCAGTGAGTGGCAAGTGAATTGATATACTTCGATTTTATGGCTGCACCTGGTGGCAAGCTTTTAGTCAGAGTCCCACACTTATTTTGGTCTGTGTGTGGTCTGCCCATTATTTTATTTGCCATTTCTGCCCGTACCTCTTTCTTTGTTAATGGTGAGTTGTATAATTACTTCATTATATATTTACAATGTAATAGCGGAAGTGAAGTTCTCAATGTTACGTGCTTGAATCATCCTGAAACCATCCCTTCTCTGCCTTGGTCTGTGGAAGAATTGTCTTCCGTGAAACAGGTCCCTGATGCCAAAAAGGTTGGAGGCCGCTAGGTTAAAACTGACAGACTATGGTATGGCCATTCAGTGACATTATACTTTATTAAAAATTCTTGTTGGCCGGGCTCGGTGGCTCAGCCTGTCATCCCAGCACTTTGGGAGGCCGAGGCGAGTGGATGGCCTGAGCCCGCAGGTTCGCGACCAGCCCGGGCAACTTGGCGAGACCGCATCTCTACAATAAAATAAAAAATAGCCGGGCGTGGTAGTGCGCATCTGTAGTTCCTGCTACTCAGAAGGCTGAGGCGGAAGGATCGCTGGAGGCCAGCAGGTCGACGCTGGGCTGGCCGTGAGTGTGCGGGCCGCTGCACTCCAGTCTGGGCGAAGGAGTGAGACTCCAACTCAAATAATTATTGTCATGAAGATTGTGGCAACTGGGAAAATACATGTATACCTAGTTGTAGATATACTTCTGATTACCACTATAAAAACTATATATGCAGGTGGACAAGAACTGTAAGAAAATAGTAAATGAAAGATTTGACTTGTTTGGCCAGCAGAATATTGAGCTTTTTTAAAATTATTTTTTAAGGTCTGTGTGCTTAAACAACATGATGTTGGCTGTATGATGTCTTTAAGCAGAAGAAAAGGCTCCAATTGTATTCTGCCCCATGAAAGTTACTCCTGTTTGTCATCAGAAAACTTACCAACCTCTCTTTAAATAATGTTTAAAATTTTTTTCTTTAATTTTTCACAAGTGTTTTTATTCTTTTTCAGAACTTCCAGAAAGTATGTGTCTTAAATTTCAATGTGGTGTTCATATTCAGTTAGGATTTGCAGCCGAGTTTTCCAATGTCATGATAATCTACACAAGTATAGTTTACAAACCACCTGAGATAACAATGTGTGATGCCTATGTTACCGATTTTCCACTTGTAAGTCTCTCCTGTTTTCTTTTGTCTAAAATGCAATGATACATTCTCGTTTATTAAATACTAAATTTTTTAAAATTTAAAGTTGATGCTGAATATAAGGAAGAAAGATACTTATAAGTATGTATATGTTTATTTGTAGTTTAGTAACACTTACTATCATATTTAATAATTGCCAAGATACCTTAAGTTTTCAAGTTTGGAAATGTCTAAAGTTCACTCAGGAAGGATGTCTTTAATTTCTCCTATCCTAAATAGTCTATACATGTGAGAAATAAGATGTTACACATATGTCTAGAAAACAATTTTCTTTTAAAAACTGTTGTTAGCCGGGCTCGGTGGCTAAGCCCGAAATCCTGCGTTTTGGGAGGCTGAGGTGAGTGAATTGCCTGAGCCTGCGGGGTTCAAGACACGCCTGGGCTACTTGGCGAGACCTCATCTGTACAATAAATCAAAAATTAGCCAGGCATGGTAGCGCGCGCCTGTAGTTCCAGCTACTTGGAAGGCGGAGGCAGAAGGATCGCC